GGATTAACTATTGTGAACACAAAACCCACATCCACAGAGTAAAATCCTTAGACAGTAAAAGAGTTCACCCTAGGTGGTTGTTGGAAGTGGGGCAGAGATATGATCCTGAGGAAATTCCTGCCGGAGTTACCACCAGCCAACGTTGGCGACCTGCAGCTGTCTGGCAGGAAGCTGAAGAAGATCTCATGATGTCCCACGCTATGAAACTCTTCTAAGAGGCTTGGGAGAAACATCGTTTTCGTGAGAGCCGGGTTGAGAGGGAAGCTGATTTTCCTGATCAAGAAGAGAGACGTGCAGAGGACCTATCTCACCCTGGGGGGGGGGGGCTGGGGGCAGACAGCGGAGCTGATCAGGATAGGAGAGCCCCAGCAGCAGCAGCCACAAAAGCCCCCCACCCCGCTGACATCGAATGGCAAAAGTTCCTCCTCTTGGTGTAAAATTCAGAGGTGACCCAAAAGAACTGGGATTTTTCCTGGTCCAGGTCTGGAATTTCATGCAACAGTTTGGAGAAGATTTCTCCAATGAGGAAACAAAGGTGAGAGCTGTGACTATGGCATTGGAGAATAAGGTGGCAGCTTGGATGGTCGCCTTGCATAATGATGACTCCCCCCTGCCGAGGAATTACAATGTGTTTATGGCCGCCCTGAGGAAGCGCTTTGATGACCCGCTAGCTGAGTGTAAGGCAGGAACCAAGATGAAAACTCTTACCCAGGGAAGAAGTCCAGTGACTGAGTACAACCAAGAGTTTCGTGAGCTGTCGGTGCATATAGCAGTAGGGTTGGGGTGAAGAGGCTTTAATGGACAGTTTTATGGATGGCCTGAATCAAGATATATACCAGAACTGTGTTAATACAGGGGTCCCATGCAACCTGCAACGCTGGTACGAGCTGGCAGCAGATGTGGAGATTGACCTAGCCAGGAATAAAGACCGAAGAGACAGTGATAAAGGTAAAAATCCTTCTCCCACCCACTCCCAGAGGAGCTCCGAAAGGAGGAAAGAGTTGGTCTGCAAGCAAGCCCCAGTCAACTGCTTGTTTCCATTGTAGGAAGAAGGGGCACAAAGCAGCAAGCTGCCACTCAAAAATTGGCCCAAAACCCACTGCTGCTGGGGAGAGAAAGCCAGACAAACGATCGGGGAAATGAAAGGACACCGCCATGAAAGGGGTGGAACCTTTTGAAGATTTCCCTCCCAACCAAGGGGAGGAAGAGCCCTTCTCTCTTTCTGGGGAAAGTGAAACTGACTCCAATGACGACCACTTGGTAGGTCCCCGATTGGGCCCCATGACCATTCCAGTAGAACTTAAAGTGCCCTCTATTGGAGCCCAGGGGAAAATGCTGGCCCTCTTGGACTCTGGATGCATACGTTGCGTAATTAGCCCGGAAGTGGTAGAAAAAATGGGATTAAGACTGAGGACTTTGAAAGTGCCCATTGCCTTTTGACAGTTGGACGGATCAGTGGCTGGGGGGGGTGCCCGTTTTGTAACTGAACCAATAGAAATGTGGATGGGGGATCACCAAGAGACTTTGAGTTTCATCATTGCACCAGGGATGGATCGGCCCCTCATACTACGATTACCCAGGCTACAAAAATGGAACCGATACGTGAATTGGAGGAAAGGGTGGTGGCGTATCCGTTCTGCTAAACCCCGGAGGGAAAGGGGAGGGTCTCCCACATAGCCAATGCTGAACCAAACCTAGTGGCTGCAGCGCAAGAAAAAATTGAAGGGGAAGAGAAAATACCCAAAGAATATTGGGACCTCAAAGAAGTTTTCAGTGAAAAGGCTTCTGACAAATTGCCCCACCACCACCACGCTACTGATTGCAGCATCGAGATCATTCCAGGGGAAAAGTTCCCCAAGCCCCAGATTTACTTGATGACCCCACGTGAAATGGAGGAATTACGGTAGTTTATTGACAAAAACTTAAAAAGGGGTTTCATACAACCAGCTAGGCTGCGGGTGGCCGCACCTGTATTGTTCAGAGAAAAGAAAGATGGCTCCTTTCGTTTATGTGTTAATTACAAAAATCTTAATGGGATTTGTGTAGAAAATGTATACCCGCTGCCACTCTTGAAGGGTATGTTAGCCCAATTGGGCAAGGGGAAAATTTCACGAAGTTGGACCTAAGGGAGGCCTACTACAGAGTCAGAATCAGAGAAGGGGATGAGTGGAAAATTGCTTTCAACTGCCCTTTGGGATGCTTCCAGTTCAGAATACTCCCGTTTGGACTATAGGGGGCGCCAGCAATTTTCATGCAATTAATAAATGAAGTTTTGCATGAGCACCTGTACAAGGGCGTGTTAGTCTACCTTGACTACATCCTTATCTACACGGAAACACATGATGAACACGTGACTGGTGTGCTCAGTCCTTAAAAAATCCAGGGCACTGAACTTTATGCCAAATTGTCTAAATGTGAATTTCATCAGGAGAAGATCGATTACCTAAAATACCATATCTCCCACAAAGGCATCGAGATGGACCCGGTAAAAGTCCAGGCTGTTACTGATTGGCCACCTCCTCGCACCCGTAAGCAATTGCAAAGTTTTCTGGGATTTGCAAAATGTTATCGTCAATTTATTCCCTCGTTCGCTAGCATTTCACTGCCCATTACAAATCTCCTAAAATTTAAAGGAGAAACTAAACCTAGGCCTGGACTTTGAACTGGACTATGGAGTGTCAAGCCGCTTTCGAAAAATTAAAGTGACTCTTTGCAGCAGAACCGGTTTTGAAACACCCCAATATGGATGCACCATTTGTGGTACAAGTCGATGCCATGACGTGGTGGTGGGGCAGTATTACTTCAAACAAATGCTGAGGGTAAATTGCAACCGTGCACTTACACCTCACGTAAGCAGAAAGGAGATGGGCCATAAGGGAAAAGGAAGCTTTTGCTGTCATATGGGCTTTGATGACCTGGCGACACTTCCTAGAGGGGGCGAAACACCCTTGTGAAGTATGGACTGATCATAAAAATTTAGAAGCGTTGAAAACCCCGCGTAAGCTGTCGCCTAAACAAGTGCGTTGGGCACAGCACTTCAACTGTTTCAACTTTACCCTCAAGTACATCCCGGGGGGGGGGAGAACTTTATGGCTGATGCCTTGTCCAGGCTTCCCCAGTATAACAGCTCTAGGCTGAGCGTGGTTCATCCAGTCATCCCAGCTAAAAATGTGGCTGCCCCAATAGTTACTAGGAGCCAAAACCCAGTAGACTTGGATGTGACTACGGACCTAATGAACAAACTCAAGGAGGGACTTGAGTCCGATGACTGGTTCAAGAAACATTCTGATGAATGCACCATGAAGGATGGACTGGCTTGGGTAGGTGCTAAACTGTATTTTCCTGCTGACCTAAAACCTGTTGTTCTTCAAGGGGCCCACGATTTGAGAATGGCGGGCCATTTTGGATTTGTAAAGACTTTGCATTTGATTAAGAGACAATTTTGGTGGCCTTCATTGAAAAAAGACATTGAGTCCTACATAGCCAGTTGTCTCGTCTGTGCGGGCGCAAAAAGACCACCAAAGTGTTGCCCGTCCTGGAGCCCCATGGAAGGAGCTATCAATGGACTTTATTGTCAAGTTACCAGAAAGTCTAGGAAATACTGTTATTTGGGTTATCACCGATCTGTTTTCCAAACAGGTTCATTTTGTGCCTTGCTCCAAGATCCCGTCAGCGAAGTCATTGGCTAAATTGTTTATTTTACATGTATATGGGTTACATGGAGTGCCTGAACACATTATTTCGGACAGGGGGGTTCAATTCACCTCCCTCTTTTGGAAGGAGTCCCTGAAATTGATTGGCTCCACTCAAGGGTTAAGCTCCACCCACCATCTTCAGACTAATGGGGCTTGTGAATGGACTAACTCGGTTTTGGAGCAGTACCTCCGATGTTTCATCAATTATCAACAGGATAATTGGGCAGAAATGTTACCACATGCAGAAGTGGTGTACAATAATTTTGTTCATAGCAATACTGGCATGACCCCTTTCAAAGTTGTGTTTGGTCAGGACTTTGTACCGATTCCTGAATTGCCTCAAGAGAAGCCGCAAATTTTATCCTTATCTGAGTGATCTGAGTGAAGCTGGGCCCAATGTACCTAGGTCCATTCCCCATTGTGAAAATCATAAATCCTGTATCAGTAAAATTGGAGTTGCCGAAGAACCTTAGAAGAATTTATCCTGTATTTCATGTGAACCTGTTGAAACCGGAGCACACTTCTTTCTTTCGTCCACCTCAACCTTCACCTCCAGTCCCTCTTCTTATTGGGGGAGAGCAACTGAAAACGTAGAGGTCACATTCAGTATTTGGTGTCCTGGAAACATTTTCCCCCTTCCCAGGTTGAATGGGTCGACAAATTTCATGTTAGGGCTCCCAGACGTTTGCAGAAGTTCTACACCAATTATCCTGATAAGCCTTGATGTTAGGATAGATGTTAATATTTATAGTGTTATTTTGTATTGGTTTTTCTCTCTCTCTCTGCAGGGATGATATCTCTTTCTGAAGGAGGATCGGATGCCAGCCTCTGCTTTGCTGGGTTGCTTTCAGCTGTCATGGAAACGAGGAGGGGGGGGCATGGTATTTGGGATGGGAAAATATGGTACAGGAGTGACAGTCAAAAAGGGAGTTTTGTTCTCACCATCTTCTGCGCATGCTGATGGCCAATGTTTGGACCTGGTCAAGGCTAACCGTCCTGCATACCAACCTGATGATGCTTCTTGGAGATGCAACCCACATGACACCTAAGGGAGCCGAGGTGACGCAGTGGTTAAATGCAGCACTGCAGGCTACTTCAGCTGACTGCAGTTCTGCAGTTCGGCTGTTCAAATCTCACCGGCTCAGGGTTGACTCAGCCTTCCATCCTTCCGAGGTGGGTAAAATGAGGACCCGGATTGTTGTTGGGGGCAATATGCTGACTCTGTAAACCGCTTAGAGAGGGCTGAAAGCCCTATGAAGCGGTATATAAGTCTAACTGCTATTGCTATTGCAGATTGGGCAATGGGGTGGCGCTGGTCGGAGGGAGGGGGCAGGGCAAATGTTTGATATGTATGATTTCGCGCTTTTCTGACTCAGACCTTGCTTTACTTCACTGCTATCTATTCATAACCAGTAAAAGTACTTTTATTTCCACAAACAATGGAGTTGGAGGATTTATTTCTTGGTTACTGAAGGAGGCACGCTTGACAGTTTTAGGTTGTCAGTTTAACTACTGGTTCACAAACTGGTTAACTACTGGTTCACAAACCAACCAGATAGCACCTTTACATAAGCATTTCTTATACACTTAGGCACTAAACAACCAAGGACTATCAGAGATCTGTGCCTTATTCTTTGCTTAATGAACCATTCCCTAAATATTTAGTGTAAGCTGCCCAAGTAATTTTGGAATCAGATAACTTCCAAAGTTTTCTTTTTATTATTTGTGAATGTTAATATGTAAGTTGCACTCACGAGCCTAAATGGCCTCTTTCAATATCATCCACACTAGATTAAAAAGGAAATAAATCTTCCAAATTTCAATACTTCTACTTCTGTTTTTTTAAAGGTTTGCACTTACAAATTAAATGTTACCTTTGGAGCTCACAATAAATTGGCAGTACTGATGTATGGCAGAGAAATGAGAAAGCCATAGTTGGAATGGCATAAGCAGTCTAATAAAAAACCAACAAAAACAGTGTTGAAGTAAAGTCTGTAAATGTTTGAAACTTATTTTTAAACACTTGGAAAAAAAATGTCAACAATTAAGTTGTATTGGTTCCACTATGTTTTACTATGGGGTTTTGGCTGCCTTGAATATGTTTGTGAAAGACAGAAATATGTGTTGCCTTTCTTTCTCCCTCCCTCCCTTTCTCTCTCTCTCTCTCTCACACACACACACACCATATATATGCATAACATGGCTGGATGACAAATGTAATGAGTTAAAAAACCCATTTAACAAAATGTTGTGGGGCAGTGTGTTGCTCTGTGTGCCCTATTATCTATGTTTTAATCTTTTTTTTCTGGGCAGGTGAATACAGCTTCAATTAAAATACTGGGCTGCAGTTTCCCACAATTTTTATTTTCTAAGAAAACTTGCAGAGTTCATCCAGGACTCAAAGACATTATTGGAAATAATAATTGTGGTGAAGGCTTTATAGCTTGCAAAGCATCCATTTAAAAAATAAACTAGAATGTTTTATCAGTGTAAAAGATTAGGGGGAAGGGAGAGCTAGCTGACATTAAAGAGGTTCTCCACTGGAGACTTCAGATTTGGGACAGATTCCCAATTCATTTATCATCCTTAGGAAGTACTTATACACAAAGACAGTCATACTGAGAATCTCTGGATAATTCTAATGCTAATTCCAATCTCATAATTCTAATAAATCGCACATTTCATGAGATACAAATATTTTATTCTATCAGTAATTCTAATGCTTCAATACATTTTTGTAAACTATTTTAAACAGTTAAAATATTTTAGATTACCTCTTTGGAGAAATTAAACAGTTGTGCATTACAGTCCCCAGTAGAGTTTGAAACCTATGTAAAACAAAACCCAAAAAGTACCTCAGCTCGGTTCAAATTACATAATTTAAAAACTATTTCAAATTCCTACCAGTGATCTTACAAAGGCGATTTAATTAAGGCCACATTTATACTAATCATTTTAAAGTAATCCTCAATTACTTTCAAAACCATGTAGTAGCCTACTGCAACTACCAACAAAACAGAAATGGTTTAAGATATATATATATTTTTGGTGGGGGAGTCACCCTTATTCAGTGATAAATTATTCCAGATGGATAGCTCCTTTCCAGAATCTGTTTCCTTGTAGTCCAATGCATCTGCATAAATTAATGAGGAAAAGACATAGGTATGTTGTATGTAAAACCTATAATCTTGCATTGTGCACTTCTAGTGATACAGTAATATATACTATATCTGTAGTTCAGCAAACCATCTGTTCTATTTCAAGGTACTATAAATTATTGTTCAAGTAATCATTTTGCTGTGCAACACTTGGTGGCCTTGAAATAAAAGCCCTGCAGAAAATTCAACAACAATAAATTTCAGATTTAAAGTAGTTTATATACCTGGGAGAATCCTGTAGCAAAGGTTAGTGGCAGAGGACAAGGAATTGACCACTTTTTAATTATTATCTATAAAAAGAAGAAAAAAGTAAGAGTTCAGTTAGCAATGACCTTACTGCATCCAATCAAAAACTACCATAATGCTTATCATCTAATCAGCATAGTTATTAGATATTGTAATGAGCAATGATGAGAATAGCAGATCAACATATCTGGAGAACCCCATTGTAATTTAAGTCTGTTATTTTTAAAACTACTAGTTTACTCATACAGAATTTCCTTTGGCACTGGAGCACTTGTGATTTGACAGAGCAGTGATGATGAAAAGATCACGCAGAAACAACGCTCACGCATGTTCTCGTTGGGGCCGCGCTTCAGAAAAGCTGAACTTGTGGGTTCTAGTGCACATGCACGCTCAAAGATCAGCTGGCCCACATGTGCAGGCCGGTTTTCGGCATTACCGCATGTGTGAAGGCATCCCGCTCCGGAAAAGCCAAACTTCAGCCGGCGTGCTGCCGTGCACACAAACAAAAGCTGATTGTCACACTTGCATGCATGCCAGAAACCCGGATGACAAACAGGCAAGGCCATGCATGCCAGGCGACATGGTTTGGCGTGACACTTTGGGCACACGTGCCATAGGTTTGCTATTACAGTGATAGAGTAAGTAAAAATGATGGGAAATAATACCTAAACCAAGCCCTTATGCTCAAAAACAGATTGAGAAGGGTACAAAAGAAAAACCAAAAGCCTCTTGAAAAGCACCTTTGGGATGTTCAGACAAGCTCCTGAAAGTAATATCTCAAGTGTTATCTCCCAACGGGCAATATGTGTGAGACCAAGCTACAGGACACTGATTTTTGTTTCTAGCTTTTCCTTAAAAGTACCAAATAGTGGGGAATGATATCCAAAAAGGTAAATATTGCCTACAATAATCAACATCAATCCAATAGTGTTCTGCACAGTGGCAAATGGTTTCTATCCAGATAAGTGAATATAGTTAAGTCTGCATGTTTGTGAATTTCCTCTTATTGCCCACCTAATTTTGAGCACTATTAACTCTCTTAAAGCATTCTGATGAAGAAGAAACTAAATAATTCTTGGGAAGAGTTCCTTTCACTTTTAACAGTCTTGCAGTTGGCTGAACCTATGTTAATGTATAGATAAGAGTCAATACATTTTATTTGTATACTACAAATGTATGCCTTCCTATCACTGCCCAACAGCATAAACCAAAAATTATATAATGGTTGCTGGAATTGTGCATGTCTAGTTTAATGAAAAGAAGTGACATGATAGCAATCTTCCAATATCTCAGGGGTTGCCACAAAGAAGAGGGAATCAAGCTACTCTCCAAAGCACCTGAAGGCAGGACAAGAAGCAATGGATGGAAACTAATCAAGGAGAGAAGCAACCTAGAACTAAGAGAAATTTCCTGAAAGTTAGAACAATTAATCAGTGGAACAACTTGCCTCCAGAAGGTGTGAATGCTCCAACATGGAATTTTTTAAGAAAAGGTTGGACAACCATTTGTCTGAAATGGAGTAGGGTTTCCTGCCTGAACAGGGATTGGACTAGAAGATCTAGGTCCCTTTCAACTCTGTTATTCTATTATAATAATAGAGGAGTTCTTTCTGATCAAAAGCCTACTCAAAACCAGTGTAAAAAGAACATATTCCTGGGCTGTACCATGACAAGCAGTGATGTCTTGTATCAGCTATTCTATATAATCAATTCCTAAGCACAAAAACCAAACGTGTCATGAAGGAAGCATGCTATATTTCTATAGGTAAAGACATTTTTCTCATAGAAGAGCAATTTGTTAAGTGAACCTTGACCCTCTGAAATGCTATAAATCCAAAATTCTATTTACTATCCATCAGATGTTTAAGAACTAGATTTCAGCTAACTGAAATTATTGAACAAGCAAATCAAAGATTACAATAAACACTGAGACATAAATAGAACAACACTACATTTTATTATTTTAGAGTAATCATACTACATTGACTGATTTGAAAGAGATCAGTCATTTGTCAAGTCAGAGTCGCCTTATCGGGGTGATGGAAATCATATAAATTTAATAAATAATAACAGCTTGTACTTTTAGAGCATAATAGACTGGGAGGTTTTGTTAAGAATTGCAAAGGAAGCGTACCAAGAAAGCTTAATAAATTCCTGTAATGTCAAAGAATCTCTAATGGTTGCTTACCCAAAGCTGGAAGGCAGTGAGGGGGGGGGGAGGAGTCAGAGGCAGGGAAGGAGAGAGAGAGAGAACTGAATACTGGAAAACTGAAAAAAATGTTCCATTATAGGATAAAATTCCATACTCCATTCATTATTCTTAGATCACCATTTTAGAGCAGTTTCAGAGAATAGTTTTCTTTCCTCAGATCACTCATTCTCATAATATCCCTATGAGGCAAGCTATTAATAATGATAAAAAAGAAGGAAAACAGATCAAGATCACCCAGGGAGTCTCTAGCTGAGGCAGAATTTCATTTCTTGGGTCCAAGCCCAAATCTGTAGCCAATATTAACATTTGTCCTTACAGGCAATAACCTGAGCAGACGCTTTGCCCAAAAAAACCAAAAGGAGAAAATTATAGTACTATAAAAATATTGCTTCCATATGCCCAGGTCAGATTTTGGATTCCTGGAACATATTAAAGGGTTTGTACTTGAGATAGCAAGAAAATGATATGCAAACTAAAGTACAGCAGGTATCACGATACTTTATCTTTTCAAGACAAAAAGATAGGTCAGAGAATTGTAATTGGATTTCATAGATCTCTGAAAATTTTCCTTTAGCATTTACTTATTTTAATTAACGTGAGAGAGAGAGAGACAGAGAGAGAGAGTGTGTGTGTGTGTGTGTGTGTGTGTGTGTGTGTTTAAAATGCACAAACATTTTCAGCTTCATGTGAAACCTTTTCCTTACAAACAAAATAGCAATAGTTAGACTTATATACCTATTCATAGGGCTTTTAGCCCTCTCTAAGCGGTTTACAGAGTCAGCATATTGCCCCCCACAAC